GACATTATTTTTGGTGCTACTAATGATCTTATGTGTGAGGAATTTACTAAGATTATGCAAGGGGAGTTCGAAATGTCAATGATGGGAGAACTAAATATCTTCCTCGGTCTTCAAATTCGACAACTTGAACATGGGACATTTCTTAGCCAAACAAAGTACTCAAAAGAACTTCTCAAGAAATTTGAGATGGAAGATTGTAAAGAAATGGCTACCCCAATGAGTTCTCAATGCTCACTTGATAAAGATGAATGTGGTAAGTCGGTTGATGTGAAACGGTATCGAGGTATGGTAGGTTCTTTACTTTATTTAACTGCTAGTAGACCTGATTTGATGTTTAGTGTTTGTATGTGTGCTAGATATCAAGCGAACCCTAAGGAATCTCATTTGACCGCTGTCAAACGGATCCTTAAGTATGTGAGAGGCACCTTGAACTTGGGACTTTGGTATCCCAAAGGTTCAACATGCACTCTTGTTGAGTATTCTGATTCCGATTTTGCTGGATGCAAAATGGATAGAAAGAGTACGAGTGGAACCTGTCATCTTTTTGGTTGTTCTCTTGTTTCTTGGTTTAGCAAAAAGCAAGTAAGTGTTGCTTTGTCCACCGCCGAGGCCGAGTATGTCGCTGCGGGGAGTTGTTGTGCACAAATCCTTTGGATGAAACAACAACTTTTGGACTATGGCCTTGTACTTGATCACATTCCTTTGCGTTGTGATAATATGAGCGCTATAAATATTACGAAGAATCCTGTTCACCATTCTCGTACTAAGCATATAGATATTCGACATCACTTTATTAGAGACCATGTCCAAAAGGGTGATGTTGACATTGAGTTTGTCAATACAACTAATCAGTTGGCCGACATATTTACTAAACCCTTGGATCGTGAGAATTTTAGTCGTATTAGAAATGCCTTAGGAATTATTGCTATTAACTAAGTTCTTTTAATTATTTTCATGTTAATTGATTGAATTTTGTACTAACTTAGGCATCGGAGTGGTTTTTAATTCTTTTTTGCAGGAACTCACCCATCCACTCCTCTTTCTTACTCCATAGGAAGCATTTATTAAGGGGGAATGTTTATTGACTTTGGATATTTGAAGAATTTCAAAGGCCTGCTTTACTACAGTGATTTATTCGAATAAATTCAGAACTATTCGAATACATATGCTCCTTACAGATTCCAGTGTTGCGCCTCAAATTGATCTATTCGAATAATTTGGTAACTATTCGAATAAATGGGATTCCAGTGTTGCAGGTTGTCAGACGTTATTCGAATAAATTAGATCAGATCTGATTTTTTTAAAGGTCATTTATTCGGTCAAAGCTCCCTCACTTCTTCTCAGAACAAAATCGACCAACCTCCCTCTTTCACCCGGCGACTCACTGGAACTGGAACCATAGGCGCGACTTCACTCCTTCTCCGACGCATCTCCTTACCTCATCGCCAATTTCTTCTCCACCAATTCCATGGCATCAAGGACGAAGAGGAAGACCGTTCGGCAACCTGCTTCTTCTTCTCTCCTTGGTTCTTCTTCTCAGCCACAATCTACACCCGAAGTACCAAGGTTTGTCTACCCTCTTAATCCTCGGGTTTATTTTGAAGATGAGGCCAATTTGAAAACTTTCCTTGAACGATTCGTTCCTAGGAAGATTGTCACTCCTAGGTATGTCGATTTGGTGGAGTTTGAAAGAAACCAAGATTTTGAATCTGTTTTGTCCAAACTCCGCTCCTCGGGTCTCCTTAATGTCGTCACCATTAGAGAGACTCAAGTTCCTTTTGATTATATTAAGGCTTTTTATGCGTCTCTCATCTTCAAACGTCGTGGTTCCCAATTTGTTGTTACGGCTAAGTTTTGTGGAAAAGAGGTTGTTGTTACCAGTTCAGAGCTTAATTCTATGTTTGG